AACTTGACCGCAGTCACCACCTTTGTCAGCATATCAGCAGGATTCTCTGTAGTATGAATTTTCTTCACCGTGACTCCACCTTCTTCTATGATTTCTCGTACGAAATGATACCGAACATCAATGTGCTTCGTCCTTGCATGATAAACTTGGTTCTTCGCTAATTGAATAGCACTTTGACTATCACAAAAAATTGTGATACCTTTTTGTTCAACACCAAGCTCCTTTAGCAATCCTTGAAGCCAAATTGCCTCTTTCACAGCATCTGTAATAGCCATGTACTCTGCCTCTGTTGTAGACAAAGCAACTGTTGACTGCAAAGTAGACTTCCAACTAACTGGTGCCTTTGCAAAAGTAAACACATAACCAGTAGTTGATCTTCGTTTGTCCATATCACCCGCAAAATCTGAGTCACAATATCCAACTACAGACTGATTGTCTTCCTGCTCAAAAACTAACCCGACATCTACAGTATTATGAATATACCGTAGAATCCACTTCACAGCTTGCCAATGCTCCTTCCCTGGATTGTGCATATATCTGCTAATAACTCCAACAGCTTGTGAAATGTCAGGCCTTGTGCAAACCATTGCATACATCAAGCTACCAACAACATTTGCGTATGGTACCTTTGACATATACTCTCGTTCAGCTTCATCCATTGGCGACATAGTAGTACTTAGCTTAAAATGGGAAGCAAGTGGAGTACTAACTGGCTTAGTCTTGTCATCTATGCCAAAATGTTGAAGTACTCTCTTCAAATATTCCTTTTGCCAAAAACAGAGTTTCTTTGAACGTCTATCTCTAATTATCTCCATGCCAAGAATTTTCTTTGCCTCACCCAAATCCTTCATCTCGAACTCCTTCTTCAGTTGAATCTTCAACTTATCAATTTCTTCCGAATTCTTGGAAGCTATCAACATATCATCAACATATAGGAGAAGATATACAAAGGAACCATCTTTAAGCTTGTGCAAATACACACAATGATCGTATTTGCTTCTCTTGTACCCTTGCCGCAACATAAACTCGTCAAATCGCTTGTACCATTGTCTAGAAGATTGTTTCAATCCGTACAACGATTTTTCAAGTTTGCACACCATATTTTCTTTTCCAGCAACTTTGAATCCTTCTGGCTGAGTCATGTAGATTTCCTCCTCCAAGTTTCCATGTAAAAACGCAGTTTTTACATCCATCTGAACTAGTTCCAAATCCAATTGTGCTACCAAAGCCAACATAATTCTAATGGAGGAATGTTTTACAACTGGAGAAAACACTTCATTGTAATCAATTCCCTCCTTTTGAGCATATCCTTTGGCCACCAATCTTGCTTTGTAGCGAACATCTACTTGGTTAGGAAATCCTTCCTTCTTTGCAAATACCCATTTGCACCCAATTGCTTTCTTTCCCTTCGGGAGATTGGCCAATCTCCATGTATGATTCTGATGAAGGGACTGTATTTCATCATTCATGGCAATCCTCCACTTATCTTCTTCTGAACTTTGGACAGCGTCTTTATAAGTAGTAGGAACATCATCAGCTACAATTGAGGTTGCACAAGCAACCGTCTCTATGAGACGAACAGGTTTCGTTATTGTTCTTTTTGGCCTGCTGGTTGCTATTGATTCAAGTTGTTGTTGAGATTCCTGAGTTGGAATCTCCTCTACTGGCTCTCCTTCCAGAGGGTAATCTTCATTTGTTTCCTCCTCTGCTTCTTGTGTAGGAAAAATAAATTTTCCCTCAAACTCCACCTGCTTAGAAGCACCTTCATTTTGTTTGGTATCTTCTGTTACCTTATTTACCATAGCAAATTCATCAAAGGTAACATCTCTGCTGAATATTACTTTCTTTGTCATAGGACACCATAAGCGATATCCTTTGACTCCAGAAGTAATTCCCATAAAAATAGCCTTCTTTGCCCTTGGATCCAATTTTGACTCCGTCACATGATAATATGCAGTTGAGCCAAACACGTGCAAAGAGTTATAATCTACAGCAGGTTTTCCGTACCATTTTTCAAATGGTGTTTTGCCATCAATAGCAGCAGATGGTAGACGATTAATGAGGTGGCATGCATATGTAATTGCCTCAGCCCAAAATTCTTTGCCCAAGCCAGCATTGGACAACATACACCGTACCTTCTCCAGCAAGGTCCGGTTCATACGTTCTGCCACTCCATTCTGTTGTGGTGTATGTCTAACAGTGAAGTGTCGGACGATGCCATCATTTTCACAGACCTTATTGAAATGATCATTTTTGTATTCACCTCCATTGTCTGTGCGAATACACTTGATCCTCCTGCCTGTTTGATTCTCCACCATCGTCTTCCATTTGAGAAAAATTCCCAGCACTTCATCTTTGTTTTTCATTGTATACACCCACACTCTTCGAGAAAAATCATCAACAAAGGTTACAAAATAGTGCTTCCCACCCAATGAAGGTGTTTTGGAAGGACCCCAAACATCAGAGTGTACATAATCCAAAATGCCTTTAGTATTATGGATCGCTGTACCAAATTTAACCCTTGTCTGTTTCCCTTTGACACAATGCTCACAAAACTCCAAGTTGCAAGCCTTTACTCCTTTTAACAATCCTTGATCTGATAGAGTTTTCAAGGATTTTCCTCCAGCATGTCCCAAGCGCATGTGCCATAGCTTGGTTGCTTCTGCCTCTTTGTCGTCACTGGATGTCACTGTCGCTGTCCCAATAACTGTACTGCCACGATAGCGGTACATATTATTATTCTTCCGATTAGCCTTCATTACCACTAGTGCACCGGAGCATACTCTCATCACTCCATTTTCTGCAATGATTTTGAACCCTTTTGATTCTAGGGCTCCCACAGAGATGAGATTCTTCTTCAAATCCGGTACATATCGAACATCTATCAATGTTCTGATCATTCCATCATGGTTCCTTAATCGTATTGAACCAATGCCATATGAGGTAAGAGGGCTGTTATCCGCTGTGTGGATGACTCCATATTCTCCTTCTTGAAATTCCACGAACCAGTCCCTGTTGGGACACATATGATAGCTACAAGCCGAGTCCATCAACCATATGTCTGATGATGTTGATGACTCTGTTGTAACTAATGAGAAGTCTGAATCATCACAATCAGCTACATTTGAATCCATAATGGCCTTTCCATTGTTATGTTTGGCCTTATTCTTCAACTTCGGACAGTCTTTCTTCCAGTGCCCTTTTTCTCGACAAAAGGCACATTCATCTTTGCTGGGTCTGGATCTTGACTTGGATCTTCCCTTCTTTGTCCTCGTTTGATTTTGAGGACGACCCCTCACAAATAGTGCTTCTCCTTCTCCGCCCTTCTGTTTTTCTCGCTTTCTTTGTTCATAGCTGTACAAAGCCGAACAAACTTCTCTGAGAGAAACTTCGTCATTTCCATGGAGTAGAGTAGTTTCAAGGTGCTCGTACTCATCAGGAAGTGACGCCAACAACATCAAGGCCAAGTCACCATCATCATAAGTTGTATCCATATTTTGCAAATCTGTGACCAACTTATTGAAACTGGTGATATGTTCATTCATCGTGGTACCAGGAACATAGGTGAAGTGAAACAGTCTCTTCTTCATGTACAATTTATTTTGACTGTTTTTCTTCAAAAATTTATCCTCCAGTGCTTTCCATAATTTACTTGCAGAAGTTTCCTTTGTGTATGGATATTTCTGCTCTCTAGCAAGGTAGGATCGAATGGTACCGCAAGCAACACGGTTGATAATTCTCCAATCTTCTTCTCCAATAACATCTGGTTTCTTTTCTTCAATGGCCAGATCTAGCCCTTGTTGAAAAAGGACATCTAGAACCTCGCCTTGCCACATCCCAAAATGTCCGGACCCGTCAAATATTTCTACCGCAAATTTCGCATTTGACACAATTCTTGTCATAAGCGAAGATGCCAATGATGACGTATTGTTGACACTTGATGTAGATTCTTCTTGTTTATTGTCTCCCATCTTTGACACAAATATTATTTAATAGCTGACGACACAAATCAAGATTATTTCCTTTCTGGTGTGGAAGATCAGACTAAGCTGCAACCACAGAGCATACTCAGACAGAACCTTGACTCAGTTACCAAGATAAATCTTTTCTGATGTGGAAGATCAGACTATGCTGCAACCACAGAGCATACTTAGACAGTACCTTGGCTCTGATACCAATTGTTGCGGAAGCCAAATGTATATAGTGTGAATAAGTCACAACTACTATACCAAAAATTATGACAGCCACCAAATAATAAATAAGACAATAAAGCAACAATAAAGGGAACACCAGAATTTACGAGGTTCGGCTAATTTTGCCTACTCCTCGGACACAACCAATATTTTATTTCACTCCAAAAATACAAGTGAAATAATACTAAAGAGAGAATATACAAATGCCTTAAACAGATGAGAAGGCAAATGAGAGGTGTGTCTAAATCCTAAATATTAAGCCTTCTTTTATAGGGGGAAAATCCCCCCAACTATTGCTAACCCACCGATGTGGGAAGCTGGAATATTTGACATTTCAACACTTCTGCTAACTTCACATTTAGAAATAGATGATCCTTGCTTTCCTCTGCTAGTTTGCACATTTGACAATTTGTATCTATCTGTATACCCCAGCTTTATATTCTTGTAGTTGTGAATAATCTCTCTTGAAATTGAAGCCATGTATGAAGATTGCTTTTGGTCTTGCTGCATTCCCACACATTAAGTTCTTCCAGGTGACTTTTGGTAGATTTCCTATCATTTTCAGAAAAATGCTCCTATTCATGCTCCTGTTCCCTGGTGACTTATGTTCCACATTACTCAATTCCTCTCTTGCGTTGAATATTTTTCTTACCATCCAACTTGTTTGTTGGGGTATAGGCATATTTGCTATTCCCTTTTATATAATATTCATGTATCCATTTGATCCAAAGAGTATCTTTCTTACTATGTAATTCCGACCAAGTTTTAACTATAGCTGCTTTTTTCCAGATCTTCAGATTTATGAGGTTAAGTCATCCATCTGACTTTGGCACATACATTCTGCTCCAAGATACCAAATGCTTTTCTAGTTATTTCATTTGCTCCTGACCAAATATAACTTCTGCAGTAAGCTTGTATGGCCTTCATCACTTTGGCAGGAATTATGAATATCTCTACCCAATAGGATTGAACTCCAAATAGAACTGTCTTCACCAACTGGACTCGACCAGCATATGACAACTTCTTCGCTACCCATGAAGCACCGATGCAGTGATCTTGGATATTAATGGTTTCCATTCTACCATTTTCAGCTTTCTTGTAGCAAGTGGAATCCCTAAATACCTAAAAGGTAATTCTCCTTGTCAATATTCCAGTAATTGTTGAATATCATGCCTAAGAGGATCTGGTACTCCACCAAAATATATAGCACTCTTTGACATGTTAGCTTGTAAACCTGAAGCATCTGTGAAGTTACCAAACTTTCTGTGCAGTAGTCCTACAAAAGTTAGATCTCCTTTAGTAAATATTAGCAAGTCATCCGCAAAACTCAAATGAGTGATATTCATTTATGAACACTTAGGATGATATTTGAATTGCTTCTCATCTCTCAGTTCACTAAGGTTTCTGCTTAAGTACTTCATGACTATAACAAATAAGAAAAGTGACATTAGGTCCCCTTGCCTGAGCCCTCTTGCAGCATCAAATGATTTGGTTGGTTCTCCATTGATTACTATGGAGTAATTAACAGTTGACACACATTCCACCACCCATCTCGTAAACTTTGAAGGAAAGTGCAGCTCCTCCAGCATCTGTTTCAGGAACCTCCAATCTACTGTATCATAAACTTTTTGGATATCTTCCTTAATCATGCATCTTGGTGAGTAGGGCTGTTCATTCGGATCGGATATCCGAAATCCGAACCGATCCTTTCAATTTTGAATTTTGGATTTCGGATTGGATCGGATTTCGGATTATGTTTATTAAAATTTTGGATTTCGGATCGGATTTCGGATTGGTATATTTTAATCTAATCCAATCTGAAATCCGAAATTATTAGGACATGTATAAATACTACACATTAATTTATATCAACCTCCAAGTTATTATCTTTACAATTGCTAGATTTAGCTATATTGACATCATAGTACTCTCATAATTACATAAACATGAATTTTTCTTAATGTATTGCCTCTTTTACAAAGAAAATATATATATTAGTTTAACTTTGAGGCATAATAATACGATCCGATATTCGATCCGATCCAAATTTTAAAATTCGATCCGATCCGATATAATTCGGATCGGATTCAGATTGCATTTTCTAGAAACCGAAATCCGAAATTCGAATCCGAAATATGCTAAATCCGATCTGATCCGATCCGTGCACAACCCTATTGGTGAGATGTATTTCCTTGTGCTTGCTTTTACCAATTCATGTGCCAACATCACATTATCTGTAACTCTTCTCCCAGAAATGAATCCAACTTATGTTTCTGTGATGATGCTAGAAATAACCTTTTGTATTCTCCCTGTTAGGACTTTAGTAATAATTTTATATAGGACAGTACAACAAGCAATGGGCCTATACTCTTTGATTGTAGCAGGATTAGCTACTTTTGGAATCAAAGTTACTGCATTATAATTGATGCCTCTGAACATAGTACTTGTTATAAAGAACTCATCCACTGCTTCTATAATTTCATTCTTGATAATTGACCATGTTTTTTTTATAGAATATTGCATTGTATCCATCCACCTGGTGCTTTGTCATCTCCTATAGAGCATAATCCATCATAGATTTCTTGTTCTGTTACTGTTTCACATAGCTGAAGTTGCTGATCATGCTCCAGCTTTTTGCCTCTTCTCATGGTCTTTTTATTTACTACTGCTATACTTGGGATTGGTGTGCCCATGAGTGATTTGTAGAACTGAGTAATCTCTTCACTTATAGCTACTGGATCAGTCAATCTCCTTCCATATAGAGAATCAATCTCAGTGATTTGTTTCCTCTGTTTCCTATCTTTCATGACTGCTGAGAAGTAGCTAGTGTTAGAGTCTCCAAGTTTTATCCATATTGTCCTAGCCTTCTGCTGTATTATACTTTCTTCAATCAAGGACCACTTTTCAAGCTGGCATATTATATTATTCTCTTCTGATGTAAGTGCATCTGTATAATGTGAACTTATCTTGGTCTGAACCTCTTTCAGGTCTTCCCTTGCTTGTTCAATCTTCATAGCAATACTCTTGAACTCAGTTTCATTTAGAATCTTCAGTTTTCCTCGTAGATTTTTCTGCTTCAGCCAAATGTTTCTCATTATATCTACATGCAGGTTCTGTGCCCAGCAGTCCTCCACCATCTTAGGAAAGTTCTCATGTGTTGACCAAACATTGAAGAATTTGAATGGTGTCTTGATATTTGGTTCCCTCAGGTTAGTATTTATCATCATAGGATTATGGTCTGATATGTGAGGCAGTATGTATTCAGTAGTGAGATGTCCAAACTACATCATCTATTTTGCATTTCCCATGGCTCTGTCAATTCTACTCCAAATTATGTCTTCATCTTGCTGTTTATTTGTCAAGGTATAGTAATCTCCCTTCCATGGTAGCTCATTCAGCATCAGGTTTTGTACACATTCAGCAAAGTCTTTTACCTCCATGCTAGTTACTGTTGTACCATATAATTTATCTTGTAATATGGAATTGAAATCACCGCAGATAATCCAGGGTTTAGTTACCTTCTGTGAGATTCCTGCAAGCTGTTGCCATAACTCCTTTCTCTTTTCTATTGTGTTATATCGATACACCACTATCATATCACAATCAATGGCTTGGTTCCTGCTAACCACATTACAATGTAATAGTTGTGCTTCTTGTTGTATGTTCTTGATATGATATAATGCACTGTCCCAAAGCATCCAAACTCTTCCATTGACTGCAGTTGCATAGTTATTTTCAAATTTCCATACAAGAGCTATTTTTCTACTAATTTTGACTGCATTATGTTTCTTGACTCTTGTTTCCACTAATCAAACTAGCTTTACTTTATTCTCTTTAAGGTATGTAGCAATTTCTTTTTGTTTATACCTCTTATTTAACCTCCTCACATTCCATGCTAGATCATATACTTATAGTAAACTATAAAAATAAAACATTACATGTGAAGAGGGAATCTACTTTTTCTTCTCCTTTTGTTGTTTGCAACTTCGCTAACAAGTTGGTTGTTTTCCCAAATACCAGACAGTTAGTTGTTAAGGCATTCTGGCAACACACCCGTACCGAATCAGATCCAAAGGACCTCATAGAGGCGAAATTAGGATCTGAAGTTTATTGATTCTAAATTTGTTAGAGAATTCATAGCTCGTCTTATTACAAGTTCACAATTAAATATTTATATATAAAATTTTCTAATACAAATATTATGTTTAAATAACTGAGTTCGTCCCGCACCTAATTGACTAGCTTCGACTCTACCCACGTATAGGTTAGAAACCTCCCCATCCTCAAACCCCAAAAGGGTTTTTAGTTCTTTTTACTCTTTAATATTTCCCGTACCCCTATGATTTAAAAGAAGAAATACAAAAATGGATCTCTCCTTGTATAGATTAGCAGCCTGCATTACATCACTCTTTTTTTCTTTTATGTATTCGGTATTTAAAACTTATTAATTCGGGTAATTAGAATTCGGATCGCACATGATCACTTAATAGCGAAACACTCTCTATCAAGAGTTTTTTTTATTTATGGCTTAAACCGAAATTTTTAGTTAAGGACTAAATAATCTCATCTATCCTAATGCACTCCTTGGTGCATATTGGAGTAAAACGTTTATCTATATTCAATATTTATACCAAACAAATAAATAAGTTATATGCATTCTCACTTTATTTTTACTGCAAAGATTAATTTATTTGAAACGATATAAAGACCATTTAAATGTTTACCCTGGGCTTTCACATCACTATTCACTTAGTTGGATACAGTTGCATTTATCTTGTTGTTAACCTACTGCCACACTAATGCATGCACATGCTTTATAGAGACTAATTATGACCTAATTAAAGTAATCACTATTGCACAATATAATATATGGATAAGTTATCGTTCGCAAATTAAAGAAGTATAATATCTGACCTTTTTTTTTTGTTTGGGGTGTGCTAGAATAATAATAAAATTACGAGGAGGGGAGGTTTGGAGTAACGGTAAAATATTTTTCGATCTATAGTTTACGGGTTTGAGCCGTAGAAGTAATCATCAATATTTGCATTAAGGTAGACGGTCTACATTATACTCCTTAAGGCATGACCCTTCCTTAGACTCTAAGTAATTAAATACGTAATATTTTGTGTACCAGATTTTTCTTTAATAGATTTCACGAGTATCTTTGTATATTTTCTTCAACACAAGTATCTAATATCGAATCAACCAAAAAGAAAAGGAATAATATATCTGGAAACCTTAGAAACAGATGAGTACACATGAATCTAGTGGCTGAAAGTTTCCATATGAGGTGGTTTGGTTATTTTGGGATTAGAAAAATGAGCCCGACATAAAACTTGGTTAGAAAATATTTTCAACCAAATATCATTAGAGAAAAGTTTTTTTTTTTTTCAGTTTCTGAAAAATTAAAAAGCACACGTGGACTCTTTTTCTACTTCGTTTCATTAATTATTTTGAACTTTCCAAAAAGTTATAATTACATGTTTTGGAGAACTTTTCACTTGTTTTTTAAACAAACAACAAATGACTCCTAAGTACAACAAGACAATCAAGTTAAATCAAAATAGCTTCAAATATGAGCTAATAAAAAGTACACCATCCATTCCCGTTTATATGATATTATATTTTAGTCTGTTAAAAAAAACATATTTTTATATCTATAAATAATTAACTTTATGCTTTTTATTTTATTTTTAATAAAAAAATTCTATAATCATACAAATACTATGCTACACGTTTTAAAAGTTTTACAAAAATACATATATTATATTATATTTAAAATTATTATTCTTTTTCAAATTCAAATTATGTCACGTAAATTAAAATGAAAAAGTAGTTGTAACTTGGTAGACATAGCCGAATAAAGTCATCAAGCAAAAAAAATAAAAAATAAAATAAAAGAGAGTTAAGGGAGATTCGGGAATATATTGAAAGGTAAACGGTTATAGCATCGCGTCTTCGCCAAAAACAAGAGACCGTTTTCAGCCCCAAAAATTGAAGGAGCTGTATTCAGTTTGGCGCATCTCTACTCTGTCATTTTTGCCGGTAACCCCATATTTCTCTTCTCCTTGTATTATTCTTCATATTTCTTCTACTGTTTACTGTGCTTCTTATTCTAGTGTTGGAAGCTAAATTTGGAACCATCTTTTTGGTTATTACTCTTTGGAGATCAACTAATCCTAGTTTAATATTGTAAATTAAATTGGTGATATTGGTTCTAGAATTCTTTTAGTTAGTACAAGAAAAAAGGATAATTGGGTGCGCATTAACAGAGGCGGATCTAGGATAAAGTTTTGAGTTCGTACAACGATCTCAAGTTAATACAATAATAATTGAGTTCACAGTTAAATATTTAAAGATATTTAGTGAATTTCTTAATACATATAGTGTACTAATATAGTGTCTCTTGTTGCCTCTTTGAGCCGAGGGTCTCCTACACTGGGTTGTTGTTGTTGTTGTTGTTGTTGTTAATACATATAGTATATAGGATATAGGAAAATGGTACTGGGTTCACGTGAACCTATACGTTGCTAAGTAGATCTTCCTCTGGGTGCATAGATGGTAATTGAAGTCCTTTAATTTGTATGGCTTCAGTTCCCTGATTGATTTCCTGTTTTAGAAGCAAAGTTGGCTAAGTTACGTTTTTGTC